AAAACCCTTAAGTCCTTATATAGAGCGGTCCCCGTGCAATGCATATTAATCAACCGCAAAAATTTTAACGAGCCTTCAAAATATAATTTCTAAACGCAGAGTCGGCTGGGTCTTCAATTATTAGCCTCATCCACCTTTCTGTAGTCGTATAATATTGTTAACCAAATACCCTTTTTTGCAAAAGGTAAATATTAAATTAATTAAATCACGTTGATTTCTTAATAAATCTATGCTTGGATGTCTAATACCTGTTTAAGTTTAACGTTCTTTGTTTTTCAGCGCATTTAATAATCTGCTAAAAAATAACAAATTTTATAACAGGAATAAGTGTTACATTCATTATTACCTGTTTTGTTTTGAGATGTCGACTTTTTAAACGTTTCACTGATTATATAAATGAAGGTCGTGAATGCAGTGTGGTAGAATAAACTAAATATTAACAATAAGCTGTTGTCACCTTCTTCATGATGACTGAGCCTAAAGCAAGTGATGTTCTTATATCAAAGGAGAATTTTATTCGACGATCTTTTACCTTCAAGGAGTGTACTAAGTTTGTCGCCAGCAAAAGTTGGAATGATCCTATCCCGTAAGATATATTTGAGACTTTTCTAAGCTTATGAGACGTTGCGGTTGCGGAGCGTCGGAGCACAATCATTTTCTTTGCGACGATACCTCAACACCAGGTCAAGGCTGGTCGAAGGATGCTATAAAAACAATCGGTCCAACAAATGCATTCGGGGTAGTCAAATTCTATTCTGGTGCTCAAGACCTACACAAATTTGCTGAGGTATTGTGTGCTCACGTGCAAGTAGAGCTTATTCTTGTAGTTTGTACGCTTATCCGATGATGATGATCCTCTTAATGTTATCGAGTTACTGGACAAGCACTGGAACCTTTTGGGAATTGACACCCCTTTGCTCTGTATTTCTGTCATAGGTGGAACAGATAGGTTTTTCCTTGAAGCGAAGAAAAGGGAATTATTTTGTGAGGTAATTCTAAGTTACAACAATATTTTAATCTTTTAAGGGACTGATAAGAGCTGTATTTTCTACAAATGCCTGGATACTCACTCATGGCCTTGATTTCGGAGTTGTCAATGTTGTTAGCGACGCTATCTCTAAAGCAGAATCCTATCATCTCCGAAGCGAAAAGATGTCAAAGAAAATTATTTGCATTGGCATTGCTCCTTGGGGCTTTGTCCAGGACCATGATAAACTTATTAACCTTTCAGTAAGGCTGCGTTGCATTACGTTGATTAATGTTCTTTACAGTACGTAAGGGCACAGTACCTAAAATATTGCATTGATTACGAAACAGTGCATGATGAAGCTGCATCCCTAAACAAGAATCATACCCACTACATTTTTGTTGACAATGGCTTTCGTAGTGGCTACCAATGCAATGAAGCTTGGAAATTTCGCAAAGAACTAGAACATCTAATAGCAACCCCAAGAAAAGGTAACCCTTAGTTGACACCGATTACCCTTAAGATGGAGGATGTGGGATACCGGTGGTTAGAATAATTATAGGAGGAGAATTCGACATCTTAGAACAGGCTGCTCAAAGCGCTCAGGCTGGGGTTCCCATTGTTATCTGTGCTGGGACAGGTAAAGCCGCAAATATTTTGGACAGAGCACTGAATTTCTGGAGCGTTAACCGAAAGTGAGTAGGCAGATCTCAGCAAATTAACACTTCCATTTTTAGACCAAGGCATTTCTCATCGTCACAAATCTCAGAGCTGCGAGAAATGCTTGCGACGTTGCTTATTGACGATAAAGTTGCACACAGGGATCCCAGCTGGACAGTCGACCGGGGCATTAATCTATTGGAGATCACAATGCAACATAAGGATTATGTCAGTTCTTTTAATTTAGACGAGGAATATATGCAAGGAAGCTTTGATAGGGCAATTCTCTATGCCCTTATCAAATGTGCAACTACTAATCCCATCGATCAACTCATGGTCGCACTCAAGTTTGGTCGAATTGATGTAGTTAAGGAGAAGATCCTTCCCGATGGTGCAGGTAGACTTCGCTCTTCATTCAAAAAGTGTAAGTCCCAAGATTTCGTTGCTACCTTAATAATTAAGCTAGGACACTGAGGAGACTGTTAAATCCTTTACCATTAAGACTAAGTTCCTTTGAAAAACGCTTCGACAAAGCTGAATGATTTGACTTGTTAAGGGTGTGCACAAAAAAGGACCTTTTCAATAAATATTTTACTTTAGAAGCACGCCTCTCGATGAACCTAAAATTCTGTGCTTCTTTAGAGAACAATTAAATTTAAAAATCGTACCCTTAACTTCCCCTTTGCAATTTTACCTGTGCTGATAAGTTTATTTTGATAATTCTTGCACCACATTCCCATTCTTCCAACGGATCATACCTGACAAAACATAAAATCATAATTTAATTGCCGCTTTTCCATCCATCAGACTGGATCGTTAACTGACTATGGCTCCTAACATCGGACAGTAAAAGTGACACATTTCTTGTTTTGTCAGATGATGCCAACAATTCTCTTAGTGGAATGTTGTTGTAAATGTATGAAAGAAGTGGTAACAAGGCTACTTTTAGTACTGCAACCTCATTCCTAGATGTGTTGCAACTTTGCTTTGTCATAGTTACTTTATCTTGTCCTTTTTGGTGCATTCAAAAGACCAACTGAACAGATTGATGACAGCAGCTCTACTGGATAATCGTAGCGAGTTTGCTGAGTATCTTATAGAACAGGGATTGGTGGAAATGTCTACATACTTGGATGTTATGACACTCACACACCTCTACAACGAACTTGACGATCCCTCGGTTATGCGACGCTGTCTGAAACGCTTCAAAGCCGAAGTAGAATCCACTCAACCCACTTTAACGCGTGCTGCTTTGCTGGTCACCACTGCCAACGTTTTTGCCAGTGAAACTGAAACTTCGGAATCAGCAAACAAGCTGCTTGAGATGCTCATCCATCGCAAGAAAGAAAAGGTGCAAAAAGAGTGGATAAACTTACCCACAGTGCAGAGGCTGCTGAAGAAGCTTCTGGGCTCCTTCAACCATCCACTATACCTGGCAGTTACGGTGAGTGTGGACTTGGTAACTTGCGAGTCGCCACAATTAAGATATTCCAATTGACCCATCTAATCAGAAAGGTTAGTTCCGCATGCACCTCCATGACTTAAAGGTAAGGAGAATGAGGCGTTTTTAGGTACCTTGAATTTTCATTCGGAAGAGTATTTGACAAAACCACGGCCTTCTTTATAACTTGCTCAGCGTTTAGTCGAATGATGCACCACCAGACAACTGAATATCTCCTCACTGTACTTTGATGTGCTCAAAATCCTCTGATAACGCGAAATTTCGTTTGCGAGTTTGTTTTGCATGCCCATTGAATTGGACTTTGCCAATTTGATCAGCGGTGTCTGAAATTGACTTAGCTATAGTGCCTTCAATGCCTTCTACTGATAGAACTCGCTTCTCCCCCAATACTGCCACGGAAGTTGAGCATTTGGGATCTGTATGAAGTGACACGAAGTGTCAGTTTGGACCAAACGCTTCCTGTATGTGTCAGAGTTGGGCCACCCGAGTCAAGTCAAGGCTAGTAGTGGCAAGTGTATTTGAAAAATCCCCAAAGCTATCCTGATTTGAGTTTTCATTTTTTTTCAGCCTTTTAATCGAAGAATTCTCTTTCCCAACCCCTTACAGGTAAGGCTTGATTGGGTTAACAACTTTGGGTGCCATCTTTAATTCACTCTGTACTACCTCCATGCGTCACTAATTGTTTACAGGTAAAAGAGATAGAAATGGAGGACAATCAGAAAGTGCTAAACGTTACTTTTGATTCATCTGCTAGGAGCTTTTCATCTGGGCTGTGATGAACAACCGGAACGAACTGGCTCTGATATTCTGGCGCAACGCAGACGATGCTGTGGCTCTAAGTCTTATTGGATGCAATCTCTACAAGAAGTTGGCTCACACTCTGCCTCTCTACGACACTGAGGGTCGACTGGCATTGGACAATCAAAAAGTCCATTTTGAACAAACCGCCAAAATGATGATTGACATGCTCTACTCAAAATCGCGGGTGTGTTGCACTTCCCACATTTATCACAGAATCCCTTTTCCTGAAGATAAGAGATGATAATCAGCCACAACAGCACTCAAGTAAAGCTTTAGAGCTTTAGTGAATTTTTTATCTGCACAACTTTCTTTGATGGGAGGTTATGGTAGACACTTCAGCAAAATTGTGTAACATGTTATTTCACCTTTAACTGGGGTTGAAGAACTTAACTTTGTCACATGCAAACACGTGCTTCACACCACTACGAGGTCAGAGGAGGTCGTCGCAGAAACAATCAAAGCGGCTCTTTGAGTCCATTACGCCATGGGGCATATCCGTCGTGGGAATGTAGTGGGTGGGTCAGCTATTTCACCATGGAGCGGTAAAACCTTTATTGCAATTTGTCTGCTACGCAGACCTGAAACGTCTACGAGCAGAAAAGAAACTGTTAAGCTCTTTAGTCTATTGGGCCGCTTTGTAGTTCATTGGCTCACACTTGTTCCTCACAATGTATTTTTTGGCAGTAAATATAACACATGTCCTTTCAACTACATCTGTGTCCTGCCCATGAATGTTAGAAAGCACTTTAGGTAGCAACTTTGCTTAAATCTACCTTCCTCAAAGGGAAGTTTGCACACAATTTTAGACTGAATGTAATCAAGTAGTAGTTTATTACGCAGTTTGCCCTATTTCATAAAGCGCTCTCCTTTCTATGCGGTCAAATTTGAAACTCCAGTGGCGAGCGCTGTATCTCCTGATTCGCCCGTTGAGGACCTGGGGCCACCACAGCTGCATGCCTCTGGCCATGCAAGCTGATTGTCGAGAATTCATCTCTTCCATTGCCTGTCAACATGCCATCCGATTTGAGTGGCGTGCTAGTGTACACGCCAACGTCTTCTCACTCGTTCTCGCCTACATCTGTCCTCTCTTCATCTTCACACCACTGATTGCATTCTCATCTAGCAGCACTCCGGCAAAGAATACCGCTGAGCAGGACATCGTTCAGCGGCTTAAGGGTGATATCAAGCATGCAAACATGCATACCGACACCAATCAACTACCCGTTTCGGTAGCGAAGAAAGTGGCAATATTCTACAACGCTCCGCGAACCAAGTTTTGCATCCACACCGTAAGCTCTACTGAAGCGTCTTGAGTATGTTTTCAGAGTTGATATATGAAAAATAGCGCCTTCTACTTTCCATGTTCGCAGGTATTTTATGCGATTTTCTTGGTGTTCTTCTCATATACCCTCCTCTTTGGATTAAAACCGGATTATGTTACTATACTGGAAGCCATACTGATGGCCTACCTTGGCGCCTTCTGTGTTGAGACTGTGCGAAGTGTGAGTCATTTCCAATCCAAAGCATCCTGCCTTATTTGTCTCTTTCGATTATAATAGAGGCTAAGTGTTTCTTATTAACCATTGGATTAGTTTATAAAAATGGTTAGAGAAAAGGATTCAGTGCACACACTGTTGGGCAGCTGGCTGAGCAATGACAAATGGCACGCCTACGATGCAGCTTTGATGGTTGCCAGTGTGGTTACCGTTTGTCTACGTTTTGGTTGGGCTAGTACCTATATCGTCGCCAAAAGTTTCTACTCGATCCTTTGTAAGTAAAATACATTAATGAGCCGCACCTTCTCACAGTTTTTAGTAACTCCAATGCTTCATCGTGCATTTTAGTGATATTTTACTTCCTCCGACTCTTCCAGTTCTTCTCAGTGAACCATAAACTCGGTCCCAATTCAGTAGTGATATTCAAAATGTTGGTGGAGCTGTCAATATTTCTTTTTATACTCCTAATCTTCCTTTTGCCATACGGAATTTCGACTCAGGCCTTGCTTTACCCCTACATGACGGATTTTGATCCAAAAGTTCTAACAAATATTTTCTACTATCCTTATTACCGAATATATGGCGAACTCTTTTTGGAACAATCTGAAGGTAGGTAACAGCGTTCCTTTCCCTTTTGAAAGTGGCCATTCGAGTCATACGACAAGTTAAATGTATAGTGCTGGTAGTACAACAACTCATGAGGAATGAAGTATTTTATTTGTAAGAAAAATCGACTCCAGCTGCAATTTTACCTCGATTTTATTTTTCGGTAAATATTTTGAATGGGCTATGAAACATTTAGAATTGTATGCATCCCAATGTCTTGGTTCCTTGCTGGTTGAGCAAATGCCGAAATGATTCATCAACATCGCATACTTGCATTCTATTTCAGTAGTATTTTCGAAATTGAGGACCATGCCATTCCTAACAGCGCATATGGTCGTCCCTTTCAGCTCAAGTGGAGGGATGTGACCGGGCTAAGGCAGATGGAATCACTTGTCCAATGTACAACTTCTTGTCTCCCCTCTTCCTTGCCATCTACATGCTCATCGTCGCTGTTCTGCTGATTAACCTGCTAATTGCCATCTTCAGGTACAAATTTGTGGCCTTATTCATGCCCTGTTTTGGCTAACCGTGAAGGAGGACAACAAATCAGCGTGTGTAGCCTTATC